AAATTGTTTGGAAAAAATTATTTTATTTATTATTTTAATAATAATAGTGCCGTGAACTGGAATGCACTGAAGACTGAACTAACAAAATGCTTTCCATATCAGCACTGTTTCTCACCTTTTGTTATTTTAAAAACATTTTTTGTTTCCTTCTTCCTCCTCAGACCACTATGTATATACACTTGTGCTCTCATAGGTTCGTCATCTAATTCTAACTCGCATATGATATTTCAGTGTCATTCACTGTATTGAAATGCAGCACACCGCCCACTTAATGAGCTTATCTGTCACCAGTTGTTATGTGTAACTATCAAAGTGCCTGCCAGAGCAAACTATTTTTAAATCTAGCCTTGAAGCAGTTGCATGCGCTAACATTTAGCATAGAGAAGCATCACAATGCCATTAGACCAGAACAGGTATGAGGAAGAACTGTCCTCATACCTGTTCTGGAGAAACGCAGAGACACAATGGCTCAGTGAGGGGAAAACGAGTACAAAGACGCTGTGTAAAAGAGATAAGAATGAAGTTTGTCAATCACTGGGGTTACATTACATGTAATGGCTGATGCGACCATGCTTTTTGCTGTAGAATGTGAAGAAAGTTGGTAAATTCAAAAACTGTTTTCTTTCTCTTTCACTGTGTCCACTAGCCTTCTCGTGTAAGGCTGGAGAGTTCCTGGAGATGTCAGCTCAGGAGTGCACTCAGTGTGCAGCAGGAAGCTACTCCCTCGGTAGCGGTATCCGCTTCGACCAATGGGATTACATGCCTATTGGATTTAGTAGCCTAGCAACCTCCCTGGAGAACAGCCTACCGGGTTCTAACAGCCTCACCTGTAACAGGTAATTGAGTAAGACATTTAAAAAAGGGAAAAAGTTGGGAAAAAATACTATGCTGGATTTTTTTTTTTTATCTTGTAGCTCTTCCTGGGTTCCTCAGGGAAACTATCTGGAGTCCAACAGGGATGAATGCACAGTCTCTCTCATCTATGCTGTGCATCTGAAGAAACAAGGCTCAGTTAGCTTTGAGTACCAGTATCCTGACAGTAACCTGCTATTTGAGTTCTTTGTGAGTATTCGTTGCCTTTCAGTGGAAACATCTGCCATCACTTCATTATTAACTGTAACTGTACAGTACGCTCTGTATATAGTAACCATTGTCCTTAATGTAAATATGTAAGAAAATTGTGTATGTTTCTGTTCTGTGTCCTATGTACTGTTTGTTTGTATATGTGTCTTTTTGGCTGCTGTTACAACCAAATTTCCCCTTGTGGGACAATTAAAGGATTATTCTATTCTATTCTATTCTATTCTATTCTATTATTATTGCTTGTATATACATCTAGCTATGCTATTTTATTTGTAAGAAGCCTGCAATAGCTAATTAAAAAGTACTATAGATTGTGCTCAAGCTAAAGCATAGTTACATAGTTTTCTTACAGTTAATTCTAGTACTTCATTTTTTTGTATTTTCCCCTGTCCACTTATCCTAACACAGCATTAATGTAGTGATGCGGTGTGTATGCATGAACATATAAACCATGCACAATGTTGTAACTGAAAATTAGTGTGAAAAAAGGGGGAAGGTTTTGATCTGCTTGTGTGTGTTTAGATCCAGAATGACCAGTGTCAAGAAATGGATCAGTCTGATGACAAGAAGTGGCTCAAGCTCACCAAGCATGGCGAATGGGCAACTCATACGGTAAATGTCTCACAGAGCAAGACGACGAGTAGACAGAAAGGGCAGGTTTTTAGCCTCGTTCTCCCAAAACAAATGTATTGTGTAACATCCACCGAGCGGATAGAAGCAGGAAGCGTGTACGCAGAAAGGAGCTGGCATCATTTTATATTGTCTCCAGTAATTTTCCACTCATGCTGTAAAGGAGCTTCTGCACGGACATATTTTGGTTTCTGCATTGTGAATTAAAACGTACAATTAAATGTAATATATGGATCTTCTTGAGATAGGTTTCTAGTGGTGGTACTGCTCCTTGCTTCTTCTCGCAGGTTAGATTAGACTTCAATGGTTCAAGAAAATGTTCCACATTGTTCTGCTATTTTAATTCCTTAATAAGAAAAAAATATGAATTGACTTGCGTGGCATTATATGCTATGAAAACAAAACAAACAATCTGTATAAAGTTACTGTTGTCCTGCATACTTTGCAGTTTATGTTTTCTGAACTTGTGCTGTTAAGCTTTATACTTCATGAGTAGAAAGCTATAGAGTTACAGCTTAGCTGCTGCAGTTAAGCTGATCGCATATAATGACCTTTCTTAATTTTCAGATAGAATGTATTATTAATATTTAATCCCAAGTTGATGATGCATTGATATGTGTATTCTAGGTGAACCTGAAATCTGGCACCAACATCCTTTACTGGAGGACTGGTGGTGTTACGGTGGGAAAAAAAGTGGTGAATCCTGCACTGCTGAAAAATATTCATATTGAGGGTTGGTGGTTACTTTTGCTTTTTTTCTTTTTCTCTTTATAAAAAAATGACAAAAAAAAAAGATCAAACAATTACTTCTTCTTTCTATCTTTCCTGCTCCGCTCAGGTGTTGCCTACACATCAGAGTGTTTTCCGTGTAAGCCGGGATCTTTCAGTCGAGTCCCTGGCTCCTCCTCATGTGAACCCTGTCCTCGGGACACCTATTCTGGCCATGGTGCCAGTTCCTGCACTCCCTGTAACACCAGCACTCAGTATGCAGGTATGAATAAAAAGCTAGATTTGCCATTTCAAATCTGTTTTGAATCCTAATTGCTATCACTGCTATTCAGAGAAGCACATCTAAAGGATATAGATAGAGCTTGTCCTATTTTTATGTCACAGTTGTCAAACTTTAGACAAAGAAACACAGTGAGCCCGTGTGATCGCAAGGGAATAGCAGGTTTTGGCAACTGGGGCAGCAAAAGTAATGCTTGATCTTTATGTTAGTATATTTGCTAACATATGTAATATGATAGGAAGGCAGCCAATGCACTAGAATCTTGAACTAGAAGTTTAGATTTTTTCCCCAGGGGGTATGAATGAGGACTTTTCAGTTAAAGTATTGTGGTTATTTTATTTGTATGATGTATCTTGTAACATACTTTTACATACTGCTACATAATGTTAACATACTTTTTGAAAATGTATTTAGTTGGATCTTTCTACTCAAGTGATTTTTTTAAAAAAAAGGCCTGTACCATATTAAATAGGCACATCTCAGGATAAATATTAAGGACTGCCAATAAGTTGCACTCCTTTGGATTATGAACTAAATATGACACAACCTACTCCTTGCCTGGGACAATGATTGGCCATTTCTTGTAGATGCACTGTTGACCGATATGTATTTTGATGTTATTTTTTAATATTTTCTAATTGAGCTGTTCTCAGTGATGTGTTTTATGAAGACCAAAAGGCAAAACCAGCTGATATGGCAATACAACTCTTCTTTGTACTTCAAACGAGTTGTTCAGACTGTTTAACCATCTAATTAAATTTAAGTTTGAAGATGAAAGAACAGACAATTCCACAGTTTT